AGAGAGTTCGTAGACGGTTGTAGTTCCATCCATTGTTTTCTTACTCTCTGTGTATTTAGGTGCCAAATTATCATAATTTATCATATTAAGCGTGCTCTGGTGTTACTAGATGTTCTGGTGGGTGACTTATTTCTAGCCATGAGGGCATAATCATCCAATAAAATGCTTGCTTGCAAAATTTTACAGCACAAAAGCAAACCTAACTGAAGCACTTAACTTTCTTTTATTAATGAATTACTTTGGTTTCAAAGTCTGCATGAAGTACAGAGTTAATCACAAGTTTACACTCTGTTTAATTGTGCTGTGTCGAATGGACCGAATCATTTTCAAAACATTCAATGAAGTCATTTCAAGAATTGACAGTCTTTTGCCGGACTTACTAAAGTATGTGCCTAATGCTGAAGTGATGCTTTCTATTGGCTGTTGCTTCTTTTTTACCCTCAATTCCTTTGTGCTATCTTATGCAATATTTCAGCTCAGAATAACCAACTGCCAAATGAAACCGCTATCCATGTGCCAAACATTACCAGGTCGTGTGGAGAAGTCGAGCCTGTAAATTGTCATGTTGTTGTTTCAAGAGCGTGTTGGTGTTCTTTACAGTACTCACTGACCTGTGTATATTTTTATGAGAACATGTTCTTTTATTGTGTTATTAATGTTTGTAAAGTGGAAGAGAAAGAGAGAGTTGCACAGAAACCCTGTTGACTAATATATATTTTGTGCATAAATGCATTCCCTGAATAAAATGTAAAAAATCGCTTGATGACACTGGCTTTGAATTTCATATAAATATTGGTTAACAACACTTTACAATAAGATTCCATTTGTTAACATTAGTTAACTACATTACATTAACTTAATGTAATAAATGAAATATTTTTATTGTCAGTTTGTTAATTTCTCTTAATATTATTTAATGGACCTGAGATGAACATGAATTAACAATTAAAATTTATTTTTAGTGCTGTCAAATCAATTAAATGCGATTAATCGCATCCAAAATAAAAGTTTGTGTTTACATAATATAAGTGTGCACTGTGCATATTTACTTATATGTATATATAAATACATGCACATGCATGTATATATTTAAGAAATATTTACATGTATGTGAATATATATATATTCATATTTATATATGATTTATATTATACATAAATATAATATATTTCTTGAATACATACATGTATGTGTATTTATACATATAAATATACATAGTACAAACACACACATATATTGTGTAAACTTACATTTTATTTATTTAAAACAATTTACAATTATTTAAAACAAAATGTTATTTTAGATGTGATTAATCGATTTGACAGCACTAGTATTTTTATCAACTAACATTAACAAAGATGAATTAATACTGCAATAGATGTATTACTTGTTGTTAATGTATAAAATAATGTTAACTAATGGGTTTCAGTTTACAGAAATGATTCTCATGTTGTGAGTGTGTTGCATACAGTAGCTAATCTCTTCTTAAGAGGGATATCTGGTGACAGGGTAGACTGGATATTAATATGTGCACTCAGAGAGATTGTCCTTATGTTGAGGACAGATATACTGCCGTGAATGCAATCAAAACAGTGTTGTGCAGCAAATACACGAAATATGAAAAAATTCTGTACACAGATAAACATGATTGGTGAAAGTAGCCATTCTGTGGCCTTTTGTTAAGTATAATTGATTTGCATAAGTCTTGCACTAAATTTTAAAAGGAAATCTGCATTAAAACTATATTGAAATATCCAGATCATAGATCATTTCCCCTTTTTACCGGTGCAACCCCCTTCATCCTCCATCTGCCCTGGTTTGCTGTTGCATGCACAGATGCGTAGTGTGTGTAAAGCCGGTGTAATGCTCATGTGATGGATGCTCACTGTGGGATTATGGAGAGGTGCTGAGGTGTTTTGGAGTTAAGACTTCCACACTGTCCCAGCACTTTTCTAATACAACCTCCTCAACATGAAGACTGTCCTCGCCATGCTGGTCCTGTTCGCCGCTGTGCTACACAGTGAGTATCTCTATAGTACCAAATAGATCCAAATACACATTATCAAAATAGTTTCACATCACTTTATGGTTATTAATGTAATGCTGCCGTTACTTTAAGTTTTAATACTCCTGTAATTGAGATTACAAAAATACTTACAGTAATGGGTTAGACTTTATTTGGTAGCACTTTATTTTAAAGTGTCCTTGTTACATGCACTTACTATTATCATAACAATTAATTATGCATAATTACATGCAAGTAGCCAAATTCTAACCATATAGTAAGTACATGTTGTTAATTAATATTACTCAGAACTTAAAAGTATAATTACACTTTAACAAGGACCCCTTAAAATAAAGTGTAACCCTTTATTTTAAGGTGTCCTTGTTACAGTGGCATTATACAATCAAGTACTGAGTAATTTGAATTAAATTAACAACATGTACCTTTTTGGGTCACTGGGTGTAACTATGCATAATTTAGTTATTACTATAATAAGTACATGTAACACTGTAAAATAAAGTGTTATCCAAAAATGGTAACATATAAATAAAATATTCAGTTTTTGTCACACATGAGAAATCTGTGTAGGCTATACATTTTTACAAAAAAGTGTATTATTATTACTACTACTGTTGTTGTTGTTTATAATAAATATGTATTAAATATGTAAATAAAATCTCATTTTATATACATTTTGCAACACAGCAACAATAATTCTTATACAGTAGTAATCAGTGTTGGGGGTAACGCATTACAAGTAACGAGAGTTACGTAATCAGATCACTTTTTTCAAGTAACTAGTAAAGTAACGCATTACTTTTTAATTTACAAGAGAATATCTGAGTTACTTTTTCAAATAAGTAACGCAAGTTACTTTTTTTTTTCCAATTTATTGACAGCTCTCCTGTCCCCATGTTGAGAGAAATCAGAAGATGTTACTGTAGTTCAAAATAAATATGAAATGCATGAATTCATCTCACTCACAAAAAAAACACAGATTCAGTATTCCTCAAAATGAATAAAAATAATGCAACTCAGAATATGATGCAAACCTGCAATAATTAAATGTTAAACAACACAAATATCCTTTATGTATTTAATATGTCCAGTCTTGAAGAAAAACAAAACAGAAAAACTATAAGACTAGTCTAAACAGTTTATGCAACCGTCCCTATGTCTGTGTTGTGTTTCAGTTTAATATAGAAAAGGGAGACTGGGGCTAGTTGTCACACGTTTTACTCCAGTTTATTTCAGTGTGTTTATTAAATTTTTTAGAAAGACCATTTCACACACCTTAAAGACTTGGTTGCAAATAAAGCTAACCATTATTGCAGAATATTGGTTGTGACGCAAATCCGTGATACACTATACAAAGTAAGTTAGGCTAATTGTGTCTCTTTGTGAAGCTTTTCTGTTATTTATATGATGGTCTCATACCTATTCTTTTTTCTGTTTCGTTTTTTATTATTATTATTATTTATTTATTTTACCTGTATTATAATTTATATAATACTCTATATTTTCTATTTCTTTTTTGTAGTTTATATTTGTTCAGTACCTTTATATTATATGTTGGAAATCAATAATAAATAAATAAAAAGTTAGGCTAATTGTCAGAATTGAACCTGCCATTAAACAGTAAAGATTAATGGCAGGTTTAGTATAATTTAAACATTAAAGAAACTAGTTTTAAAAAGATAAATTCTTTTAAATATTAAAGATTAAAGATTAACTCGTATAGTTTAACCATGGCAGCCACAAATTAACCATGGTTTTGCTACACTAACCATAGTTTAACCATGATATTTTAGTAAAACTGTGGTTATACAATTGGTAGTCAATACGTAAAAAAACATGGTCACTTTTACTATAATAAAACCATGGTTAATTTGCATAAAGGGTTTACAGTATGAATAGTACAGCTGTATATGAAAATTTCATTTGGAAGACTGTATTTATAAAAATGCATACACTGCAAAACTGTATGCTGATTAAAAACTGATTCAAGCCACTGCTCAGAAAACAAACAATTATGCATTTTGTCTTCTGACTCAACCTGAGACACAACTCTTGTGACAACTAGCCCTGCTCAATTTTTGAGCATTAATAAAAAAAAATTAAAAAACTAGCCCTGCTCATCACTATTGCATAATACTGCTTCTGCTGGGTTGCGCACACGCTCAACCAAATGTGCAAACCAAACGTGGATTATCTGACGCATCCTTCAGCAATGTTTGGCCTGAGCAGATGTTTTTGTAAGAGTTGATTTGTAGTGCCCCTCTAAACCCACCATGTGTTTTCCTCCCCACAGACTCTGTGATGAAGTCATGCGCTTACAAGTCCTTCTGTGACAAGTCTCACATGAGCAATGGGGAGATGAAGCTGGAATGCTGCTTCAATGACGACTGTAACGGCCCTCACCGGTCCCACAGCCATGGGGAGCACTACAACACTGCCATGAGCCTGAGCTCCAGCCCTGTCCTGCTGCTGGGGGTCCTGCTGCTTAGACTGGCTCTCAGTTCCCTGTAAACCTGAACACAGAGACCCTTAGTCATGCATGTAACATAAATACATGAATAAATGCCGGAGGACAGGTGTTAATGTAACTGATAGATGAGCTTTTGTCTGTTGGGCGGCAGGATAATCAGTGTTTTTGCTGTTACACATACAGGGGTTAAATAAACACTGCTTAGATTTGGTGTTCATCTCTTTTGTTTTCTGTTGTATGTGAGCTCAAATGAGCATCTGCTAAACTAATGAATAAATAAATAAATGACCAGTTAAAATGTTGATGGTCTGTCTGATTCAACTTAATAGGATATCTGTTCAGCTATCTGTACCCTCTGAATGTGTTTCCAGTAACGGAACCGTGGAAAAGTAAGCGGCTACAGGGCATCCCTAGCATGAAGTCAGTCGTGTGCAGCAGACACATTCTGTAAGTCTGTAACTTTCATCATGTGGTGCAGTTAAAATGTTGATGGTCTGTCTGATTCAACTTAATAGGATATCTGTTCAGCTATCTGTACCCTCTGAATGTGTTTCCAGTAACGGAACCGTGGAAAAGTAAGCGGCTACAGGGCATCCCTAGCATGAAGTCAGTCGTGTGCAGCAGACACATTCTGTAAGTCTGTAACTTTCATCATGTGGTAGTGATGGCTGGTTTCAGATTGCAGTGCTGGTGGGAGGCGGTGAAACTCGTTTAAAAGTGTTGCAGGACACAGAGAGGATCAGCGCTGCTGCATCCAGCTGTGTAACTTGGAAGACACTGACAAGTTAACGTTACTTCACAGGAACAACGTTTTCTGAGGTAAGTTTATGGCGCGAATCAGATTTATTTTTTAAATCGAGTTGTGTTTAAAACCCTAATATAGCCTAGTGAATATATCTTGTGATGCTGACATCCGAGTTGTTCTTTTTGGGTGTCTTTAATAAAGTGATATTTAACATGCCGCTGTAAATATGTAACGTTAGGCTATTCCTTTAAAAAGGTAACTTGTGCACACATACATATTGAAGAATACATGTTGGAATTACAATTATACTGTATTAACTAGCCTACTTATTCCAAAATTTAATTTGCGGACAGTTAACCTATACCACCTAGCTACATTTTAGACAAATGACTTTTTTAATGCATCGCATATCATTATTATCATTGTATACTATTATGAATATGTGACCCTGGCTGTGAAAACCCAGCTAAAGTCCGTTTTTGTGGTTTGCTGTTTTCTACATAAAATCAGCCTTCATAAAGTAAAGAACATTCTGTGAAAATGTAACCTTGATATCTTTAATATTGACTGAGTAAGACCATGTCAAAGATTGAAATCATAGTGAAATTAATGGTTGAAATCAAACTTCGATGCTTGTTATCTCATAATTTGAGTTTGAGACTTGAGGGTCACAAATATGCGAACATATTTGTCTCTGAATAGCATAATTGCATCAAATAAGACAATTAATCTGTAACGAATGAATGAGAAATCAATCATAAACACACATGAAGAAAATGTAAGGAAGTTTTCAAACTACCAAATTAGATTAAGCTTGCTCTGCTGCATTGAGCTTGCAGTTTTGGGAAAGTGATGTTAAAAGTCTCATTCATTTAAAGGGGTCATATGATGCGATTTCAATTTTTCCTTTCTCTTTGGAGTGTTACAAGCTCTTGGTGCATAAAGAAGATCTGTAAAGTTGCAAAGACTAAAGTCTCAAATCCAAAGAGATATTCTTTATAAAAGTTAAGAGTCAGCCACATCTACCTAAAACGCCTCGTTCTAACACGCCCCCACATGTCTACGTCACGATGTGGGAAGATTTACATAACGCCGCCCAAATGTTCACGCAAAGAAAGAAGGCGTAACTTTATTCTTGCTGTAGTATTGTTGTTGCCGTGAGTTTCGTTGTGAAAGCGAAACTTTGTTTGGTCTTCCAAAAGAGGACACGACTA